TTTCATTGGAGGAGGGACATATGTTAGTGCAAGGGTAGAGCTGGTATCAATACTTGGTGCCAGTGACATGGAACAGAGGCTCTCAAAGGGTCTTGCACATCTGTCTGTCTAGTCAGTCACAGACTGCAGGCTCTGCCCTGCTTTCGGTCTGCCTGTTGGGTTTCAGAGCTTGAAGTAACATAGCATGAAGCATTTTGCAGCTTTATTTTTAAGGAAGCTGCTACATAGCCTTTGTTGTTGCTTTAACTGCTGCAGGAATGCTATGTAGGTAATGTGAAACTGGACATTAGGTAATCCAGGAGAAAAAGTCTACGTTCAGTGATGAGCCACACTGTGGCAAGATGGAAGAAGTGCAAAGACTTCAGAAGGCGCTGTAGAGAGAATGTCAAACCTACTGGTCCTTATGGTTTGCACTGTTTAAACCATATAATACTTGCATGCCTTTAAGAGGCTGTTTCAATTCCATTGAAAAAAGTTGTTATGCTATGCTATGCTACCTAGAAAATATGTAGCTAATGGGAGATTTCATCAGCCAGAGTGCATTATGGATGTGATGATAAATCTAAAAAAAGAGATTCTCATGTAAGCAAAGCCACCAGGGTTTGCCCCAGGAACAGGTACAATACTTGCTCAGAGAAGTTACAAATACGCCGTTGTTGCAAGTGTTCAAGGTCAGGTTGGACGGGGCTTTGAACAACCTGAGCTAGTGACATTTGTCCCTGCCCATGGCATGAGGAGTGGACTAAATGATTTTTAAAGGTCCCTTCCAACCCAAACCATTCATGATTCTGTGAAATATGTAATACAATCTATGGCACCTGTCCCTGTGTGGTTGTTAGTGATTTGCTGTACTGGTCTGGTTGAAGTGAGCTGCCCATTCTGTGCCCATTGCCCTGTTAGCTGGACTGCTGCTCCTGGTGCAGTCAGGCAAAGACAAGCTGTCTGATGGAAATGCCTTCTCGCCCCTTCAGCAACCTGCTGTCACTTAGGATGGATAGATGTGGGGACAGAGTTGTTCTCTACTGTCAGGAAGTCCCCTGTATAAAACACTGGTACTTAGCAGATTGACCAAACACCTTAGTCAGTGCCTTGCTAATGCTGCATTTTGAACACTGAAACACCTTCAATGCAAATTATACAGTAGATGGAAGATCTAATGGGCTGTTTGAAGGCCAGGAAGTGAGGAGGTGTTGTCCCTCTACATCTAGCAGAGCCAAGACCCCCGGGGATCTCTTATTTTGTTACAAGCAGCGGATATTTTGAAGTTGACAGGGAATTACACCTGTGAGACTGCATAGGTCACTGAACACACATGCCATAGGATGCAAGGCACCTGGATTTCCATTGCTAAATCACTTTGTGTGCACCTGGCAGGAAATCTGCCTTGGTCTCTTTTTTTGCCTTTGTCTCAGCTCCCAAAATTACAGAGAGGAAGTGGCCATTGAGATGGCATAGTCTGTATACCATGGTCCTAAATACAGCTCTGGTCTGGACTTGAGCCCACCATTTGGAAGAAACATCTCTTCTTGATTAAAACATTCCTGTGGTGGATTTACCACCAGCATTCTTGGTACATGGTTCCAGTAATTAATTACTTGTACTGCAAAAAATTCCTGCCTTGTTTCTAGACTGGAGCCAGGGTGTAGGCAAAAAGTCTGGGTTCTCTGAGAACTGAATCAGATAAGAAAGCCATCTGGGCAGTATTTGGTACTTCCTCTCATATTCAGCCCCAGTTTATACACAAGTCTTCTGCAGCATTTCTGTTTTCAGGTTTAGTTAACTGGCCTGAATGAACCTCACAGGATCTGCACACCTGATTATCCCCTGGTATTGAAGGTCTTGTGAGGTGCCAGGTAAAGCAAGTGATTGTGCTGCTGAGAGCATTCTGCATTGGGGAACGTAGTCCTAATCTCCTGTCTGTTCTGACCTTTATCTTCCTGCAATACTTCACACCATCTTAATACTACTTATTGTCCTTAACGTTTTCCATCAGTGCAGTGTATTAAGAGCTTTGTGAACTGGTGGCTGCATGCTGATCCATGGGATCTCTTCAGCCCATGTACCACTGCACCTGCATCTCTCACTGTACTTGAGTTTGACTTTCCACAGCAGCAACATCAGGGAAGTGTGAAGTACAATCTAGGATGTCTCTGTGCGTGCACCTCTGATCTGTGGGGGCTGAGGACCTCTGTGCTTCATAGGCAAAGGATCAACATTAAATAGTGCCATGAAAAGCCAAGCAACAGGATGGCATCAGGGGGCAAATGCCAAATGTAAACTCAAATGGAAATCGTGAGTCGTAGTCCAGGGGTATCCTAGTTTTGGTAAGGGGGTGTGCATCTGAGTGCTCAATGAATGTTATCATCTCTGGAGATGAGGAAAGACAGAGAAATGTGATCACCCTTACAACTTTCCTTTAGCAGTTCTGACAGTTTTGGAAGAGTCTCCAGATACTGGAGCAGTTTAGGAAGAAAGCCGATGAACATCATTCAGCTATAGGGTATTTCAGATTATGACCCAAAGGGTCAGAGGATAACCTGGGGACACTGCCATTGCCTTGGTCTCATCAGTTTCAATAGGTCAGATGGTCAAACAAAGAGTTTTGCCATTGACATCACTGAAAAAAGGATCTGACCCATAACCTCATATTCATCAACTTCATGTTCTCAGAAGCCAGACATAAAAAAGAGCATAGATCGAATAAGAGTTATCCTCTGAGGATCTGCTAGTGATATTTCATACCTCTGTATACCTTTGTTTTACATTTTGTACTTTTAATTCACATGATGAAGTTTTCAGACAGAAGTGGATATCATGTGTAAGCTGAGTTCCTTGTCTTTTTCTTTTGCCTGTCACTGGCTGCATGTTCTCTATTGATGTCTTGTTCCTGGTACTTGACACTGACCATCTTGTCTGTGAAAGGAAGCACTCCAGCTGGTTTGCCTGATGAGAAGAAAGGAAAGTTTGCTTGGTTTAGTCACTCTACAGAAACCCATGGTAATGTTGCACTGCACTCTGTGTCCACACTGTGTATATCTGTGTGTATGTGTGTCTGTATAGCTCAGTGCAGACTGGCATGTAATACAGCTTTGTATTCTTCTGCATGTACGTGCCTTGCTTTTTCTATTGTTTGTGCAATGTCCTCTTCATGCACTCAAGATAACAAGCTGCTCTGCAAATCAGTCTCTTGCTAATGTCTTCAAAATTGTTTTCCATTTGCAAATAAGCTCAAATATGTCTTGAAAGCGCTTTACCTCATCTTCAAAAATGACTTGCAAAATATCAGTGTTTGGGGATTTTTGCCTGCAGGGCTTAGTCTGGACAAAAATTTTAATTATGAATGTTGTTTTTTTCTTACAGCTTACTTGACTGTTTCATATACCTCAGAATATTAATTCATGTTATCCTTAATTTATCTTTCCAAATAAACAGGATTATTAAAACATCTGTCTTCGTATAAAGGAAAAGGCACCATCAGAGTACAATATTCCATAGTTCTGTCAAGAGTGCTAGAGGGTCCATTATTTCATATGGTCCTAAGAACACAACAAAAGAACTTTAGATTTCCCAGATATGTGTTTTAGGTACATGAATTTTTGTGATGGGATGAAGGAAAGATAGTTCATTTTGAGGGACATTTCTGCCATAATGCTTTCAAAGCAAGAACCCAGAATACTTTTGGAAGAGCCTTCTGATATCTCTCTAGCCCCTGAAAGATGACCTGGTCCTATGGCCCTCTGAGCATCTGCCCAATTGAAATACAGAACCTGTTTCTTTTACATTGTCTCCTTTTGTACCGACAGCCCACAAGCAGGTGTGTTCTTAGTAGTGAGTTACATATTCTTACAGGCTATTGGAAGTTTCTCCACCAGCTAGTAGTGCATGCTCTCAAGTCTCATCTGATATATATATCCAATTGCTAATACAGGTCATGTTCTGAAGTTCTACCAGGTTTCTGGGAGATCTGTTTTAACACCACCATCACTCAGTCTTAAGTATAATTTTTTTCAATTGTTTTGTGTATTTGAAAAGAGGGGAGGAGGAAAGAGAAAACCTATTAAATCCTATCCATTTTCCTAACTATTAAGGAGTTATTAGAGCTCATATAGGAACCACGAACAACTGGTAAAGTGGTTTTCCTTTCCTTTTTTTTTTTTTTTTTTATGATCTATAGAAACAAATCAAATGCTGAGATTTGATAACAGATAGAAAATGTGACAGGTTCTTGAATCCCGATGAGATAGGTTCACACGTAAGGTTGCTTTCAGTTGATGTTTGTTCCATGATACTTCTGTAAAAGCCTAGGAGGTTCTGTCCAGTTCTTCGATGGTGAGTGCCAATGTGAAATCTCCACCATAGTCCATATTCATTGGCTGCTTTGCTGGTAGTATCTGAGTGGGTCAGACAGACTTAATTTCTCTCTTATACCTATAGGTCCAGTTTATAATTGTAAGGTTGAAACACATTGATGTGACAGATACACAGTATACAAAATACATCAGTATTATTGATGGGGTATTTGCTATCAGGCTAACAGAAGTTTTTTATCTGCATACATGTCAATCCTGGTACCTTTCATTTGTATTCAATCATTGCACAAAAGACTGGGGAGGGCAGTGAGGTGGTTGGGCTGCTGCAGGTAAAGAGGCTCTTTTTTAAAGTGTTCTGTTGAATCAAACGGAAGCTTCTTGTTGGGGTCATCTGCTTTTCAATGGTTCTCATTCATAAAATTTCCAGGAACTGACTCTGAAAGAAAGAGAGCAGCTGCTTCTTCCCTTTTCTTTAGCATTTGAGCAACCTGGGTATGTTCCTGAAGTCTACCTGCCCGGCCTGGTCTGTACAGGGAGGCACAAGACTTACTCAGCAAATTGCTTAATCCTCAGGAGCTGCAGCTGAGGGTCTTTTCATTAAGCCAGTTCCTTCACTCATGTGGCTCACTAAGAGATGTGCCAGGTTCTAATGGCCAACCCTCTCTTTTTTCTTCCCTTTGACTCTTACAGTGAGCATGCCCACCAGTGAGACCGAGTCCGTGAACACAGACAACGTCCCTGGAGCGGATATGGAAGGCGAAAACTGCGGCGCTAGGCTGGCGTGAGTACACACACACACACACACACATCTGCATCAGGGCTTGGGCTGCACTCAGGGGTTAAAACCAGGGCAAATGTCAGGCTTTTTAAGAGGAAGAAAGCCCCACTGTGGGTGAAAGGAGATGCTGCAGAAGATCTATTGATCCAGTTTCTTATCTTAATTGCAGTGTAAACTCACTCTGGACATTAGCGAAGAGCTACTGGGTTTACATAGATTTAAATAAAGCACAGGATATCCAGGATAAGCAGATCTGGTTTTGCATAATAGCTAAAAGAAAAACTGATGGCTAACAGTGTTCTTATTTTAAAATCCCTCTTAGGTGATGGATAATCAAAACCAGTATGTGTAGACCAAAGAGTGGAAATGACTGGTCTGTTTCAGTTTTTCTAATGATTCTTGTACACTTTACAGTGCCTTGTAATAGAAATACATTGATGAGAATTCCCATTTGACAGACTGCATTACACCCTTCAAATGCTGCACAGAATACTGTAGTGACAAAGAAATATATCAGTTAGGAGGGATTAATGCCTCCTTGAAGTTGCACCATTGTAGTTAGAGAAGATGCTCAAGAATGTGTGAGAGAGTGGTTATGAAATACCGTATTATGTGGTGTATTTTTTACCAACACAGAGAGAAAGAATAGGCAAGAGGAGTCCTATATTCCCTTTTGTATGACTAAACAAGAATGGACTTTATGCTGTGGGGGCAATATGTTAGTCCCTCCTAAGTTCCTCAAAAAAGGTGTTAAGCATACCTCTGCTATAGTTTGGACCATGCTGGAGTATTTTGAGGCTCTGTCCTGTCCTTGGGCCTACCTTGATCTCTTTGGTGATGCTCAAATGCTCATCAGAAGTGAATAAGAAATGCTTTATTTTGTCATAGCTGTTGACCAGTTGACCCGGTGTTCAGGTTCTGACAGGAGGGCAAGCGCTTGAGCCTGGGTATTTCCTGCTTTCCAATCTCCTTTTGCTGCTCCCAAACTCATGCTTATTGGAATTAGAGATATTAGCGGGCACATTTCTGCTTTTTGCCTCTATGCCCCTGTTCATGGATTTACCTGACTAAGGCTGTCTGCCTTCACAATCTCCTGTGGCAACAAGTTTCAAATATTCACTACCTGCTGTGTAGACAAGAACTTTCTCCTGTCTGTTTTAAGATGATCTATCACTGCTTTCAGTCAATGTCCTCTCCTTCTAATATTGTGATATTTAGTGATCAATTGTTCCACATTCAGCTTATCTATCACTTTCATAACCTTGTAAACCTTGATTGTATCTCCCACACATACCCTTGGCCCTCTCCTCTACAAACTGAAGAGGAGGAGATCTTATCTACATTAAAAGATGTGATACCTGGGATATGTTATAAATTTAATCTGCTTTCCTTGAAGAGTCAGCCAGCTGCTTACAAACACCTGCCTGCTTTTGTGAACCTGCTGAGTCTTTTAGTTTAGATTATGAACACTTTTCTGAAGGAACCAGGCTAGATCTATTCACAGCACTGAGGCAGTTGTAGCCCTTTCTTTGGTACCCCAGCAAGTTGCTTGTGCTCTTGGTGCATTACAGGAAGAATCAGGTGGATGTGTGATCACTTCTTCCAGCTGGATTCAGTTTGAAGAACCATCTCTATTCTGCAGCTGTGGGTCACAGAATCACAGAATGGGTCAGGTTGGAAGGGACCGCAGTGGGTCATCTGGTCCAACCTCCTGCTCAAGCAGGGCCATCCCAGAACACATGGCACAGGATTGTGTCCAGACAGCTCCTGAATATCTTGAAGATCTTGAAAGATGATCGTTAGCAGCCTTGCTATGGTGTCCATCAGCTCTCTCATGGATGCATTCCATCAGGGCCCATGGACTTTTGGATGTCAGGTTTGCCTAGCTGTTCTCTGACCCAGTCCTCCTTGGCCAAGGAAAAGTCTTCTTTCCGACATTTCTCTACCTTGATCTCCTGGGTCAGAGATTCCTGAGAGCTGACTTTGTCTGTAAAGACCAATTTAAAAAAGGCTTTCAGTAATTCTGCTTTCTTTGCACCATCTGTTACCAGAACCCCCCCCTCCATTTAGTAACAGACCCACATTATCCTTAGTTTTCCTTCTGTTATAGATGTATTTGAAGAAGCCTTTCTTCTTGTCCTTGACATTCTTTGCCAGATTTAATTTTAGATGGTCCTTGGCCTTCCTCGTCTCATTTCTACTTACTCTGACAACTTCTCTATATTCATTCCAAGTGGCCTGACCCTGCTTCCATCTCCTGTGTTTCCTGCTTCAGTAATGACAGGAGTTCCTTGTTCATCCACAGAGATCTCTTGCCCCCTTTGCCTGATTTCTTGCTCATCAGCATGCATTGTTCTTGACCCTGGAGGAAATTATCCTTGAATATCAGCCAACTCTCCTTAACACCTCTTCGCTGGAGGAACTTTTCCCATGGGATTCTTCTGAGAAGATCCCTAAAGAGGGCAAAGTCAGCTCTCCTGAAGTCCATGGTTACACTTTTACTTGCTGCCCTGCTTCCTCCTTGCCCGATACTGAACTCTACAATCTCACAGTCACTGCAGCCAGGGCTGCCCCAACCTTCACATCTCCAACAAGACCTTCCCTGTTTGGTAGTATTAGGTCAAGCAGCACACCATTCCTTGTGGGATACTCCACTACCTGTGTCAGAAAGTTGTCATCAATGCTTTCCAGAAACCTCCTGGACTGTTTGTGCTTTGCTGTGTTGCTTTTCCAGCATCTGTCAGGGTAGTTAAAAGTCCCTCATGGAGGGGGGACGCAGTGCCAAAAGCAATGGCAACAGCTACTATAAGGTTTCATATATTTTTTAATATTACAGCTTGCATTCATTTGTTCTTGCATTCAATGTTCTTAATCCCAAAGGATCCTAATGCACTTTATGAACTGTAAATGCAGGGATTGTTTTCACAGCATTAGACTTCAGCCACTCTCAGGGTAAAATGTGGCAGGTGTTTAAAAACAACAGGCACAAGTGTGTAGGGAGATGTATGAGGGATAGCTTGTTCTGCACTGAAACTGCATGGGGAATTTTGGCAAGCAGAACATAATTATCCTAGCTGGAATGTGGCCAGGAGAGCCAAAGTTAAACCCAACTCTAAACGTAATCATGACTTAGAATGGAGTTTGCTTAAAATAGCCCAGCGTGCTCACGGGAGAATGGCAGTCCTCAGATTTGGCATTAGGAGCAGGGATGGCTACGTCCAGCAGGTTTTAGGGAAGAAGGCATAGGAAAATTACAGGAAAACTGAGCTTCATTTCTTCTTCTCAAGTTGTGAATGTTAAAGCAGAGCCTAACGTTTCACCAGACCAGGACAAGTAAGATTCAGAGAGATAAACAGTTTCCTTGCCACTTTTCACTTCATTTGAAAATGGATGATGTATAGTAGGAGAATTGAAGTCTGTTATTGAGAAGGATTTTTTTTACTCTTTACCCAAGGACAGTTGGGATCCTCAAGGCCTTGCTCAGATTGCTTTTCATCTCTAGAAGATGGATAGGCTCCTTCATCCATGAAAATGAATGGTTATATCATTGTATATGAAATTCTGGGGTGAGATACAAATTTTGCCAGTACGTCCTGCATTTGTAAAATGTTTGTTTCAAGCTTTGTGAAGCTGCAAATTCCTTAGTGGTGGGTAAATTCAGATCTGCCTTTGATACTGAGGTTTGGAATCCTTTCTGGTTTCTTTTGTTACTGTGTCACACACTTAGGCAGAAAGAGAAACCAGCTTTCCTGGTTTTTTCCTGATATTAAGTACTCTTCTCACTGACCCCTCTTTTAAACACCCCATAGGCCAAGATTCCTGCTGGAACATATAAAATTTAAGCAAGAATTTATCTGAATGAATGTTTTCTTTTATTGGAACCTGACTAAGAATCAGAATTTGACCCAGTGTTCAAGAATAGTGAAAATTCATGTGGGAATTCAGTTCAGCTTTTCCAAAAAGTTCCTCATCAAGTACTAGAGATGTTGAGTAAGCATTAATAATTATACTCATGCCATCCTGATTTACTCTAGTTGAAGATTAGGCCAGGACTTTTGAGCAGTCATCTGCCCCCTGTTTTTACAGTTGAAATGTAACCAAGGTTTTTGTTCGATTGTTGAGTTTCATGTATTGCACGTGAGTCTTGGTCTTTACCAGTTTTCTAAAATCACCCAGTGGCCTTGAGTCCCCATTGCTTTGCTATTAAAACACTTCTTCCCAGAGGGCAGAGGCTGCACTGGACCAACTGCAGCCAGATGTGACTGAAGCAAGGTGGGGATTTCAAGTCAAAGGCAATATATTTATTTATTTAGTGACATCAAGCTGCCTAAGGCATTTAACCACCCCAGCACCACCACCCCAGTTATAGACTGAGCTTGCCATCCAAATGCACTCACGATAAAAGGAATAAAAATGCTCAGGAGACTGAAGGGAAAACTTTTTCATTGAAGAGAATTTAGAATTACTGGCTGTTCTTTCTGTTCTTTTAAAAATCTACAGAGCTTTGAAAAACTGTGCCTGTGAATGACAGAAAGATCTGCTTGAGAAGCCAGGCTCAAACGTGCCTTTTGGAAAAGGAGATCTTCCCTGACAGCCTTTTTCAGCTCCACAGAGACATATGCTATGTGAGATCAGGAGAGTACCTCTCAAACACAAGCTATCTCCTGCTGATAAATTGTCTCAAAGAAGCTTTTATTTCTATAGTATCCATACTATAGGAACTGCCTCCATCAGCTGTGCTGTCTGGAGCAATGCCAGTATTCAAACCAGCTGAAGGAGTTTCAGGAGGAATCTAACATCTAATCTCTCTTTGCTTGTTGTGTAAATCCAATCTTTCAGAACTTAAACAAAATGAAAAAGAAAAAAACAACTTCATTCATATTCATTCCTGGTGTAATTCTGCTGGCAACAGGAGTGCTGTGGTGCAGAGCAGTTCCCTTCCTAGGGGAAGTATAGTATGAACTTCATCAGGCATTGGAATCTGAAAATGGTTTTGCAAGGTT